CCTCCTTATTTATTGGCTATATATTTGTTGTAGAGGCTGCATTGATTGTATTGATTGTATTAGTTATACTAGTTGCACTGATTGTATTGATTGCTCTGGTCCAGAATCTCTCGCAAAACAAATCAAATTAATGTGTCATCGCGAATCATATTCAGACGAAAGTCACATTAGGCTATTCTGAGCTAGGAGGCTCGAACGGAAAATAAACCCACCTCCTTCATTCTCTTAAAAGTGATTGATGATTTTGGTTTCATTTCAGTTTAATAATATTAAACTTTAACAACTTTACTCAACTACATGTATTTTACTTTGATTTATTTCTGAACTGTGCGTGGTTTGACGTAACCTTTAGCCCACTTTGGAGACTGTTTACTCATTTATCCTCTTTTCGCTCGTTGTATTAAAAATTCCATATTTTTGTCAAATATTGTCCGACTGACTTCATTTTTTTTCTTTGAGGTGTAGGAAAGGGTTGGTAGTTTTTGACAATAAAATTAGCTCAGTTTGCAAAATATTTCCGGCTGAATTTGACTGGCACTGACACATTTATTTATTGAATATTTATGTCTTGAGGTGGAAGAGAAAAGTACCGGAAAACATGGCAAAACAGAGGAATGGGCTCCCCCCTCATCCTTTACCCCCCCTCCCTTTTTCCAAATCCCTTCTTTCCTCGACGGCTCGTATAGTGTACACTGAACGATCAAATCATCGGCCAGCTGTTCAGATGTAGATGTACAAATCCCAAAATTCTTAATTTTGTTTAATTACAGTTTCTCAATTTGATGTATTGGTTGCATGTGCTCAAGAAATAGTTTGTCGAAATTCAAGTTCTATATCTAAATGTTGAAAAAAAAAATCTTTTAAAAAAAGCTAAAACAATTAAACAAAATCCCGAGAAAAAAATGTTTAAAAAATGAAACAATGATTTTTCTCTCTCCTGAAAAACTTTGCTTTCTGGGCTGAGTACGTTTGTACAGCTTGCCAACGGAATGTATGTTAGCAGCCAGGAAACAGACGGACTCCTAAAGTGTATCTTACCTTCATTGTACATCACGGCTGCCGCCATCACAACAGCCAAAGCAACAGTAACAAAAGCAGCAGCAGTAGCAGCAGCAGCAGTAGCAACAAAAGCAACAACAACAAAACCAACAACAACGACAACAACAACAATAACAACAACAATAACAACAACAACAACAACAAAAACATCACCAAATCACCAATACTCACGAAACATCAGAAGCAACAAAACCAACAACAACAAAACCAACAACATTAAAAACACCACACCACCAACAACAACCAACCACAACAACAACAACAAATCAGCAATACTCACGAAACATCAACACTTTAGGATTTATCCGTTCATCTCCAAAGTATTTCCCATTAATCTCCGCCATGGTGGTGCCAGGCATAACGATCGGCCCCGAGTAAAAAAACCCAACCCAACACCACAACAACTACAACAGCCCCTTAACACCACCACCACGACTACACGAGATCAAAAGTGAATAACTTCATAATTAAAAACATCAACTCCTAGCTCGCGCGCACAACAGTCTCCAGAAAAACCCCATTAGATTTAGAAGAGCCGCATTATTCCACGGAGCGTTCTGAGCGACTGGTTAAGACCAAAAAGCCACCTTTCGAAAGGTCTGCGTACAATACGGGCGCATGCTAGTAGTGCTAGACCCACCAAGACAGAAACCTTCCCAGAAGATATTACAAGAAGCAATTACAGACAAGAATGGAGACCTCAGCTCTTGTGCATGACTGGTAAGGGGGTGGGTGGGTGGTGGGGGGTGGGGAGAGAGA